TTCTATCGTGTTTTGACACTGGAAATCAAAAAGCATTTTCACATTTTTCTTCTCAGTAACAACATCATTGTAAGGTTTTTAAAAAAATCATTTCTATAATATGTTTTTGCTTCCTCTGTTGGATTGTAAAAGCAAATATCAGAGCCTTCTCTAATTCTTAAAGAAAGTTGTTTAGTTCCCAGGTAATACCAGTGTTTACCTTTCAAAAACTTATGTAAAATACATTTAAAGACAAGGTCATGTAAGCGCAAATATTTTAAAAACTTTAATGTGTGCATCCTATATAACTATATCTATATAAATAATTATCTATATAACTTATTATCTATAAAATTTATTATCCCCTAACTTATTATTTAACACAGGTCAATCTCATTGAGTTTCATTTTAAAGAAGGAAATAAGTACACTTGTAAGGAATTCTACAGTTGCAAATTCATTTTCCATAATATGATTGCTCTAATTCATTTAAGCCTATAAGCTGATTACCAAAAACAGAAGAAACGTATTAAACATATACAACCTGACAATAATTCAGAAAGACATGATTAATGATTGTAGAATTTTAAAGTTGATGTTATAGAAAATTTAAACGTCCTTCATAAAAAAAACCAGAAAAATGAACAATATCATTGATTTAAGTAGATAACAATAGCACCAAATATGTTATTTCTTAGATAATTTAGTAACAAAAAAAACCCTGCTCTGTGGTTTGTTATAGTTGTTGGCATCAATACACACTTCAGTTATAAAATTAGAATCAATTCAAAAACAGGAAATAAAGTATGTTTTCAAAGCTCAGTTTTCATAGTCTAGTTATCCACTCAGCAGTCTTCAAGGTTAACAACTGATGAAAAATGGCATGTTTTGCTCATAGATGTGTATACACAGTTATCCTAGGATTAAAATTAGCTGCTGGGTCCCCAGAAGCTTAGAAATAAAATCATGGGCTGAGAGAATGACTAGATTTGTGTATAAAAATGAGGATTTCATACTGGTTAGCCTATTAGAAGGTCAGGAACACTGTGAACCTATAAATAAATGTGATTACCATGGAGGATGTGAGCCTTTAAGCATTTTAGCTTCTGTGCTTGTCCCTAACTGATTTTATCCTTAATCCCTGCAGCATAGCAGCTTTATAGACTAGATAGCTATTTTTAGTTATTTAAACTCACTCTTCTAAATTATTTACAAAATACAATACTATATATATAAGGACATTAACTAGTTGCTATGGTTATATAACGTTAAGTGGAAAAGGAAATACTGAGGTCAAATACATGATACAAAATGCATAGATAAATGTGAAGCATCTTCAGAAAGCATGCATAAGCAAACTGTAAGCACCAAGAATTAAGTCACTTGGCTCCAACAATATTCTTCTCCTTCCCCGTGCACTCTGATATTACTTTGTTCCAAATAGCAGCATAATAATTTTTCAGAAAGCTACTCAGTCATAGCCAAAATAAAGCCTACACTAAGATATTCATTATAGAATGTCATTTTTCATCTTGTATCAGAATTAGTTTTTATATTCACAAGATCAGAACCTGGCATGTTAAATCTACATAAGTTAAAGGGCTATTTAAAGGAGAATTTAATGCTGGAAGGAGCTCAACCTCTTTATTCCATTATGATCTGCTTATTGAGTCTAAATGCCACATGCTTCATTAAGTTACTTAAAGGTTTAGTTCAAAGCAATTGCACAGCTTTTAACGAACTGCTTGTAACTCACAAGCTGGGGCAAGTAATATTTCAATTATCTGAGCAAGATATAAACAAACAAGATTTTAGATACAGCTATCACTAAATTTACTGATGATTAATTTGTTGATATATGATGGAGAAATTGAATAGCCTATATGTCACAACAAACTCCAATACAACAAAGTAGTAAGATATGACAGATGAATATTTCTATTTACCAATATATAACAAGATTAAATACATAGACCTTATAGTTTAAAAAGCTTAAGAATGTATACAAATGTTTAGGACCTAACAGTTTCACAGTAAATTAAGGAGAAGTACATATGAATATACTGTGAATGATTTGTTGTTCAGATGACAAGTAGCTTGGGCACTTGATATAATTTTGTGAGTCTATCAGAAGAGAAAATAACCTCATGTATGTAGAAAGGTAGCTTTTGACATTTCTTTCAATAGTGGTAACGACAGCAAGAAATGAAAATGCTTAAACAAATGTGTATTTTCCATTAACAGTTAAACGCAAACTTATTATCAATATGTCCATCTCAAATTATGTACTTGATAACACAAATTTGAATTGAGTAAGTGCTTGGTGAATGTGCCCTTGGTTTCCATAGAAACATGCTAGGTTGGATTTCTTTAAAGCTTGATTTTAAAGTAGAAAATGACACTATGTTAGTGTCCCAGAAAGGACAAAATGTATCTCATGAAGTTGAAGATTTTATTTGTTCTTATAGCAACAGTTCTTATCAACCATTTAGCTCATGTAGGCCATCCTGTATTTCTACCAGTTTTCTTCACCTGTTTGGTTGTTTCTTGCCATTTCCTCATTTTAATAGAGTAGCTTAAAAGTAAAGAGTTGTCTTCATTTGCTTTGTGTTCTCAACATATAGCTTAGGATTCAGCTCAAACTCTTATTTAATAAAAAAACATTCTGAATGAATAAAATAAGCCAGCTTCTCCTTCCAATGATAACAAAAAAAGTGAACTTTACTGTTGAACTAACATGTGAGTCTTGACTTCCAATGGTTAACTAGATCTGTAACTCATAAGCAATGCACATAATGTTTCTACATGTCAGTTTCTTCACTACTTCTGGGATAATAGCAAAAACCCTGTATTAGAGGTTTTTTTTTGTTGTTGTTGTTTTAATGGCATTTACTGGGGCTTATTTTTAAATAATATAATTTAAATAAAGTGTCTAAGACAATTTAAACAAATAAGACATCAATAAATTCTAGCAAGTATAATTATTATATTATAACTACTTGGGTTAATTCTTCTTGCTCATCATTGTGCTGGGTGCTCTGATTGGAGTCATCACTATAACCTTGTATTATACTTTCATTCTGCAGACCAAGATACTGAGAGGACACCATGTACCATTCTGTTTTGACACAGCTACAATTGGAAGCCTGCCTGCCCAGGCCCTGGGATTTTCCCAATACAACTGTCTTGCACATGTTTCAAATCTCAATTTAATTTTTTTCAGAAAGCATTTTATAAGGTCTAACACTCTGATCCATTAAAGATTATACCTAATTCCAAATCAACATGTTGCAAAGAGGAAGAGGAATTTGTCTAGAATATTTTTTTTCTTTTTTATCTTTTCCGGTTGTGGGGTTTGAACTCTGGGCCTGGGCAGTGAACCTGAGCTCTTCATCTCAAGGCAAGCACTCTACCACTTGAGCCAGAAAGCCACTTCCGGTTTTCTCGTGGTTTATTGGAGATAAAGAGTCTCATGGACTTTCCTGCCTGAGCTAGCTTTGAACCACAATCCTCAAAGCTCAACCTCCTGAGTAAATAGGATTATAGGCATGAGCCACCAGCACCCAGCTGTATTTTTTCTCTTTTAAGGCAGTTTCCTTGATGTAGTGCAATTTCCTTGGTGTAGTGCAGCAATACATAGCATTGGCTATCTGGTGATTTTTTTTTAACTTGGAAAAAAAGCATCTAGTTTTGCTTCAGAGCCTGGAGTTTTTCTCAAGAGTTACCTGGTGGCCCCAGTGAGTTTCCAAAAAGTCATCTTTGCTTGGAACTGATGTTTATTCATTCTTTTGTTCATAGACTACAGGGGGGAAATTATTTTAAAAGAAGAATAGAAGCATGCTTTTCTGAGGATACAATGTGGTTTGTGAAAAACCAAACTCTGCATTAAAGAGACAATAGTCGTAGACATTTTATTGGATAGCTTAACATCAGAGTGTTCAAGTTTATAAAAACATGCTCAGGCGTGTGTGCATGGAATATAAATCACTGTGGTATTAATAGTAACATGAAGATGTTACCACTACAGCAGAAGAACAACATTGCCATATAAACAAAACCAACCCATACAACAGGACTGTTCAGTGACTTACCTAAAGTCATCAACCTAAAAATGGCATGTCATTATTAGTATACATACATCCTTTCACAACTCAGAAAATATATTTAAATCAAAAGGTTTCCTGCAAAGACATTAACCCAGCTAATAAGGAAGTAGACATCCGACCATAAAGCCAGTAATTAGACAACTCATATAAGAATGATGATACTTGAGTACTTAAATATGTCTTATTTATGTTTGTATAATTATGACGTTGACATAACTATAACCTGTGTATTTCTAAATAAGGTATTTGGAAAAGAGTGATAGAGATCAATGGATGCCTAGCCACTTTATAATAACAGAGATACAACGCAGTTTTCACAGTTTCTTATGGGCAGTTTTCAACAATATGGCCTATTGCAACACTGTTAATACTGAAGCAGGTTTCAGAATCCAACTACCTCCTGTTAAGCCAGACATGAATGAAATTCACAAATATATAATTGATGTTATTACTTTCAATATCGGATTTTGTTTTGTAAAGTGTATTTATTTTTTAAGGGAATACTATCTCTGTTTTCATAAATGTGACTGCTACATTATTTAAATCAAAGATAAGGCTTTACACTCTTCATTTAATTTTCAGGATAGTAAATATTAATAGTTATAACCCATATAAACAAAAGCTCCTAGTGTTCATTAAAATTTATAGGAGAGTAAGCTCACACTTCATAAAAATTTTGGAACTGTTGATAAACAAGAAAATATTGTGTGCTCCATCTTAGCTTTCCCCCTCACTTTGCAATTTTCTGTGATGAAGACTTTATGGTCCTTGAAAAAAATATGAGAAGTCATTTAAACTACATCTATTTAAAAAAACAACCCTTACCGCATTTTATTCATAACAAAAATTGAGCGCTTTAGAAATTGCTCCATTTGCAAAATATATTTATAACTTAACCAACATAAATAATTCATACCTCACCAAGTGAGTAATAACGCCTGGGGATCTGGGAGTCCGGATAGATGTTTTCTAGGTACCAAGAAAAGGGCTTACACTGCAGATTTTCTCTTAGTGTTTTCCTGACCGACACATCTCCATAATCCACTTTGACAACACCTGGAATTTTTCAGAGAAATACAAATCAGTTAGTGCTATTTTCACTTAACCACTATGCCACTTTCTTCTTTGCCATCAATTTTTTTCTGTAATTATAATCCCTCAAATTCAATTGCATGTGTGGCTGCTATGATGTTACTTTTCTTGCTATCATCCAATTAGTACATTAAGTAGATATTTTTTAAAAATCTTCCACTAATTATGACTTTTGAGATGCAAATATTTATCATGAGATACTTGTCATTCTTAGAATAATCAAGTAGACATGAAATTGGTATGATTTAATATCTCATATTCAGTTTAACAACTGTGAAATGTGTCTGTTTCTCTTTAATAGAAAATTTAATGTTTTTGTTAATGCTCATATTTTCCATATGGCATTATTTATGCACCATTTAAGTTATGAGAGATTTATATAAAATAACCATTAATAAATTGTATATTTATATGTTCTAACTCTACCTTCTTTATGAACGTCTATCTAGATTTACTATAGACCATTGCTTAATTTAATTTTTAGTATTTTATTTTATAGTGGAGTAAAATCCACTTAATATCCTTAGAGAGTTTAATGAATTAGCATAAAGAGACTAACACAGACACATATAAATTCATGTGTATATTAAAATTGTTCAATTTTATTTTATAATAGAAGAATATTGAAATTAAAATGAATATTGAGTTCCTTAAAAGCATACTTTGAGTAATATGGTGATGCTGCAATTATTATGTATACCATTTTATGATAAAATAATTTTCTCATTATAGTAATAAAGATGACTGAAATGATTATATAACAATTATAAAATAGTGCTTATTTCATAAGTTATTTTGAAAGGATTTAGATATTTAAGGCTAGTAAGTAACCAAAGTCTATCACAGAAAAAAAAAAAGTAAAAATAAAAACAATGGTTATGACACTGTATCTCAACCATTCATCAAAGCCAGTTAACAGCTCTGCAAATCATCCTGAATATTTGTTATTTATGACATTATTAGGTCACCATTTTCAGAAGTGAGTTGCACTATCAATGCATGTTACTAACCAATGTACCTCCTTTTTTTCTTTGAAACTCTTTACTTAAAAAAAATTAGGTAGCATAATTGTTAGAAGGCATAATGATGATACCTAAGCAGCAAAACTTCCAATGTTCTTTCAAAAGAACATAGTTAGCTGCTGTGCAGACAGAATAAAACAAGGCCTTTGCAAAGGCAGTAAAAATAAATAAATATTTCATTTTATAAGTTTTCTACTACAATATTCAAACTGGAGTAATACTTTCAAAGGAAGAGGCTCTATCAATATATTTACAAACTGATATTCAAAAATATTAAATGTTATGATGATGGAAATGGTATAATACATAGTTTTCAAAAGTTTATATAGAGATAGCATCTCTTATAGAACAAGAAAATTCACAGGACTAAATTTAAAAGTCAAATGTTTACTGTTTTGTTTTCTTTTTTTCATTTCCTTTTTCTTTTTTGTTGGTTGTGGGGCTTGAACTGTGGGCCTGAGCATTGTCCCTCAGCTCTTCCGCTCAAGGATAGTGCTCTACCAGTTGAACCACAGCACCACTTTCAATTTTCTCATGGTTAATTGTAGATAAGAGTCTCACAGACTTTCCTGCCTGGGCTTACTTTGAACTGCGATCCTTAGAGCTCAACTTCCTGAGTAGCTAGGATTACAGACATGAGCCACTAACACCTAGCCTGTTTTCATTTTTGAGATACATTAATTTAATTATGGTTTATTTAAATTACAACAGTTCTTTTCTATTGCTTTAAGATTTAGCATTCCTGGTTTCAGAGTTTATTCCTACACTTTTTTTTTTGAGGCGGGGGTGGGGGTGGGGTGGGGGCTGGTCCTGGAGCTTGAACTCAAGACCTGGATACTGTCCCTGAGCTTCTTTTGCTCAGGGCTAGCACTTTCCCACTTGAGCCACAGCGCCACCTCTAGCCTTTTCTATTTATGTGGTACTGAGAAATTGAACTCAGGGCTTCATGCATGCTAGGCAAGCACTCTACCACTAAGCCACATTTCCAGTCCCTATCCTATAACTATTTTATGAACAAATTTCTGATTTACAAATGTTTTTGCATAGTCCATTCATATTGAACATGTATGATGTGGCACAGTGTGTCTGATAGAGAAAAAAGAGTTAACTGAGAAAAGCTGTAACATTCCTGGACCTACTACTTCTAAGCTGTCCCTTTGCATTGGCTGGAAAAATTAGGTGATAAGCTTTATATGATGTTAGATTATTTTAGAAATGTGCAATACTGTGAGCTTATTTGAATAGTTGATGAAAATAGCTTTCTCCCCTCCTATTTGTATTTTCCTACTTAGAAATGAGATATTATGTATTGGACAATAGTAATCACCAAATGACTCTACACATACCTCCACCCTTCTAAACCCCTCTAGTCAGGAAGGGATATTCAACTGGTCCTGCTAATGAACTATGGGGGAAGGGCTGTGTGTCACTTCTAATCTTACATTTTGAAGCACAGCCATGAGGGAGGGACTACAATCCTTTCTTCCACTGCAGTGACACAAGAGGTCTTGTGTACAGTGAACATAGCTATCAGACAGACTGCAGGACCTTTGTTTCACCTGCATGATTTCAGTGACTGTAGAATAAAGCCTAGATTAACATATTCCGTTTCCATGACTGGAAATAACATATGACTTATTTCCCAAACTATTTTTTTAAGTTTTATTTTAATGTAAACATGCTGTACAGAGAGGTTGCACTTACATGAGTAAGGTAATGAGTACATTTCTTGTCCAGCATTGTTACCATTTTTTTCTTTTGGTGCTGGTCCTGTGGCTTGAACTCAGGGGCAGTGCACTGTCCCTGAGTATGGGCAAGGCAACGCAAGGTCTACCTACTTGAGCCACTCTGGGCTTTTGTTGTTGTTGCTGATGCTATTGTTTTGGATTTGGTGGTTACTTGGAGTTAAGTCTTACACAATCCTCAGATTTCAGGCTCCTGAGTAGCTAGGATTACAGGTGTGAGCCACTTCCATCTGGCTTATTTCACAATTTGTTCACTACATCCTAAATCTCCAGTTTTTCCAGTGATTTATTCTTAGTAATTTTACTAGGACCTCTCGTAGTTACCTCAAACTTGACAAGCCCAAAAGTTGATTCTTCAACTTGCTTCATCTTTAAGGATCTCCATGTTCATAATTAGCATATATATGCATCAACTTCTTAATGCAAAGTGACAAGTGTAATTGTCATTAAACCTCCCTATACACATTTAAGTCATCAGCAAACCTATTGACTCTTACTTTAAAACATTTACTGGTCTAACCCTCTTTCATCAATTTCCTACACTAACATTGCAATAATATCCTAGCCACTGTCCCTGACATCTTGTATTTCTCCACCTATCACTAGAATAAGTATTTATTCTAATATATATCTAATTTATATCTGTTTAGAATATCTATTAAATCATGTTATTCCTTCATTTAAAAGCTCTTAGTATAAGAAATGTACTCATTATCTTGCCCATGTAATTGTAACCACTCTACAGTATTTTCACCATAAAAAAAAAAAGCTCTTAGTGACTTTCTATTCTACTAAGACTAACAGAGCAAAGATTCTTCATGAAATGTATCTTGGCTCATATCTGAATTCACCATTGTGAGCCATGCTGGATTTCTTTTACCCTTCCTTCCTTCCTTCCTTCCTTCCTTCCTTCCTTCCTTCCTTCCTTCCTTCCTTCCTTCCTTCCTTCCTTCCTTCCTCCCTCCCTCCCTCTCTCCCTCCCTCTCTCTCTGTCTCTCTCTCTGTCTCTCTCTCTCTCTCTCTCTTTTTCAAGTATGCTAAGCTCTTAAATTGGGAATTCAAAGTTTTGACTTTTTTTAAACTTTCATTTTGTCTGGAATGGTATTAATCTTCACCTTTTAAAATCTTTTTTTTTTTTTTTTTGTCAGTTGTGGGGTTTGAACTCTGGGCCTGGGCGCTGTCCCTGGGCTCTTCAGCTCAAGGCAAGCACTCTACCACTTGAGCCAGAGTACCACTTCCAATATTTACCTTTTATAAGGTGTCTTTTACTGAACTAAGGTTTTTACTCAAACATACTTTTTCAGGTTTACCTTGATTGATCTGCCTAGGGATGGTTCAGCCAACCATCCCTAATTATGCTGTATTTCTGTTTTGAATTTCCCTTTGATACTCATTAATACCCAACATTATGTTATCAATTAATTTATTCATTGTTTCCTCAGTAAGAATTGTCAGCCATTTATTTAATCCCTTGCAACCTAAGATACCCCTTCTGAGAATATATTGTAGAACACCGTGAATACTAAATACCACCTGGAAAAGACTTGGCACAGTGCCTAGTATATACACTGCTTAATACACACTACCTGTTGTTTGGGGTATCTATTATTGTTGCATGCTTAACATTCCTTCTGTCTACTGGTAGAATGTCATTAGGATGCTTTTATGCTTTTGCCTTTAGTTCATGTGGGGTGGCCACATTTCTTTCTTTAGGATTCCTGCATCACCTGGAGCAAAGAGGACTAAATTCACATCACCAGAAAATCCTGTTAAAATGCAAATTCTGACTCTGCTGGTCTGAGGTAACATAAACTCTTAGGGAATGCTGATCAGGCCAGAATTTGAGTAGTACCCGAGACAATCAGAGCATTCTCAACTTTACAGGAAGCCAGATTGCAACAATTTACTCAGAAAATAGGGCTGTTAGTCTAATGAATGTGTACTCTGTGACATTGTTGGGGCTATTAGAAAGTTCAAGCTCTATTTTCTCTGAAATTGGTAATTACAAAGGTGAGCTAAGCCTAGAGATCTAAAGTCTGCAATATGGAGTAGGTGACTTAGTCATATGAATTCAGAGGTAAGATAAATCAACACATAAAAATGTATGCATGTATACATTTATGAATACAGAGAGGAGGAAGAGAAGGAGGAGGAGGACAAGAAGGAGAAGGAGGAGAAGGGAAGGAGGAGAAAGAGGAAGAAAGCTTCTTCTATAGAGATAATATTCTTACATGCTATTGGAGATAGTAATAAAGAACAATAATGCATTAGAAAGTGATAACACTACAGCACAGAGTAGGACAGAAAGGAAGGCTGCATTTGAGGAAATTTTAATGCATTATTACATTTTCAAACACTACTTATAAGAGTCGTTCACACTTATGCTTGTCTCTCAAGGAGACTTACAAAAGTCCTGTAAAGGCTTTGTTAGCGAAATTAAAAATTAGTGAAATTAAAAATTCAGTAATGGGGTTGGGAAGGTGGCTCAGTGGTAGAGTGCTTGCCTTGCATGCCTGAGGCCTTGAGTTCGATTCCTCAGCACCACATAAGCAAAAAGAAAAAAAGCCGGGAGTGGCTCTGTGGCTCAAGTGGTAGAGCGCTAGCCTTGAGCTGAAGAGCTGAGGGACAGTGCCCAGGCCCAGAGTTCAGGCCCCACGACTGGACCAAAAAAAATAAATAAATAAATAAAATAAAATAAAAATAAAAATTCAGTAATAAGAAAGTGACAAGTTTGACTGACATTAGGTATGAAGATTTGATCAATATGTAAATGCAAAACATTATGAGTTCTGATACAATAATAATGACTTAATTTTATTCATCAGCTTTAAACATATTGCATGATAGTTTTAAATTCAGATATGTACATCAATTTGTAATTTAAGGTTTTAAACAGATATTATATGGAAGAACATAGTTACTTTAGGTTCTTCTACCTACTAAGTCTCAGGTTTCTGTTTCCCTATAATCAGGTTGCCTGAAGACAAAGTTCCCTGATTGAATGCTTAGACTTTTCTTAGCTTAGAACTTTATACAAGAGGTGGCCCCATTACAACAACGAAATGTACAAGATGTTATGTCGAAAAACGAACTTTACAACTTTGGCAGGGTGGGGGATGGGGGATGGGAGGAGGTGGTGGTAGGGGGGTGTGGAGGTGGGGGAGTGGAACAGGGAAGGGATGGTATGGGGAAACAAAGGAGGAGGCAACAATGCTTGATAAGAAATGTACTCATATGTAAACTTGTTCAACCACTTTGGAAAGCAGTATGGAGGTTCCTCAAAAGACTCCACATTGAGCTCCCCTATGACCCAGCAATCCCACTTTTGGGCATTTACCCTAATGTTTACAAACAAGACCACACTAAAGCTACCAGCACAACTATGTTTATTGCAGCATTATTTACCATAGCTAAGATATGGAACCAACCCAGATGCCCCTCAGTAGATGAATGGATCAAGAAAATGTGGTAATGAAAGATTAAAAATTAGAGTTATACTTTACAATTGCTAACTGCTGGTTTTGCTTCTGTAAACTTGCTTGCGCTAGCACTGACCCTTCCCCTCCCTGGAGATAGGGGCAGGATACGTGCAGGCCGCTAACCAGGAAACGAAACCTCGGGCCTCTGAGTCACCGCCTGCAGACCCTAGCATGACCCTAGTACATGCCTTAAAACCAGGCATTCCGGTAAAATAGCCGACCAAACCATTCCTTCCTGTAAAACTTAGCCTTAATACTAGGGTGAGGCAGGATGTAATAAATCACTTGTCAAAACTAGGGAACAAACAGTTTCGGTGCATAGCGACCAGCACAGGCATGTCTGGGCAAGTACCGACACGTCAGCTTTCCCCCAACCCCACCTACCCCATCTGGCCAGCTTAACCTGACCAATCCTCACCCTGAGCGTAATTTGAAATTAACCAATCATCCCCCTGTAACCACGCATCTCGCTTCTGTAACCCTGCTTCTGCTTCCCATAAAAGAGGATGCTTTCATGCATCAAGGCGCGCAAGTCTCCCGATAGACTTTGTCGCCCCGGGTACCCGTGTAACCGGTTCTCAGACACTCAACCCGAACCTTGTGGATCTCGAGGTTGAGTGCACCTGGGAGCCGAGGGCTTGCCCGAATAAACCTCTTGCTGTTTGCATCCGCACAAGTGGTCTCGTTGTTCCTTGGGGAAGGGTCTCTTCAGATTGAAGGACACCCCACGCCGCCGGGGGTCTTTCATCTGGGGGCTCGTCCGGGATAGAGACCCCCACCCAGGGACCACCGACCCATTTTCGGGAGGTAAGCTGGCCAGCGTTTATGTGTTGTCCAGGTATTGTCTGTGTACTGTTTAAGTCAATCTGTGTGTGCGCTTGCGAATCTGGTGAGTTCGGCCGTACTCGTCCGTATCTGGCGGGCCCGTGGAGGAGCTGACGAGCTCGTACTCCCGACCGCAACCCCCAGGAGACGTCTTGGGGGTGTCCGGAGCCTGAAACAGTGGCTCATCCGGAGCCTGAAACAGTGGCTCATCCGGAGCCTGAAACAGTGGCTTATCCGAGGGCCTGAAAAAGTGGCCCGTCTGGAACCCGGTCCTTTCGGACGCGTGGTTCGTCTGGGAGACAAGAGATCCGGACTCTCAATAAAGTCTCCATCTGGTTTTGCTTTCGGTTTGTTGGCAAAAACGCGCAGCGAAGCTAAGTGTTGTCTGTGTTCATCTTTTATTTGTGTTTGTTAAAATTTTTTTAGCATGGGACAGACTGTCACAACCCCCCTTAGCCTTACTTTACAGCACTGGAAGGACAGCCCGAGCCTAGATTGTCAGGTTTTAGGAACTTGCTTGTTTGTCAATTATGAAATTGCCACTGACCACCTGTGAGTGGCCCCAGTTAGATCTCAGCCTTGGGCCTTGGCTCAGGGGGTCTGAGCGTGGGGGAGAACCTGCCAGTCTGAGGGGACGGCCGCTAGGGATTTTTCTTTTCCCTTGCCCCAGATGACTGGGAATTCTCCTCCGCCTTGGAAGGCCCCTGGGTCAACGTCTGCAGGAAAAAAAAAATCCTGGTAAGTGAATGGTGGTGAGATGTTGCCCCATTCACTGAGACTTGATTTTGTCTTTGTGGCCACTTGGTTGTATTGTTAACTTTAGTGTGTGTTTGTTTTATGTTTTCTGGGGTAGGAAAGTTCTGGGTGAGTGTGACAGGCTCAATCAGCAGCCTCTGGATTCAGCTTGCTGAGTGAGAACAGCACAGAGTTCCAGTAGGGATAAACTGGGGCTCATTAGTCCCCAACTCAGCCTTCAGTTCTTGTCTAGTGCTGTTTTAGAATTGGTACCAGTTTTAAATGTGGATCCTTGGTTTTTGTGTTTATCTGTGTTTTTGTTATTTATTTAAACATCTCTGGGGGAATAAAAGTTCCAGCTGGGCTGGGTCACAGACCTGCTATGCCCACCCTCCCTGTGAGGCATGGAAGGTTACTGGGCTAGTTTGGTTCCCTTCAAGCCTCAGGCTGCATTTTCTCCTTGTGCAGGCTGCTAGCAGGGAGGGTGTAAAAGGCTGTGTGCCTGGTTTGGACTTTTTCAACTAGTCCTGACAATGTAAAAATCTGGACAGTTTAGTTTTAGGTGACCCCCTCCCCCAGCCCTCCTCCTACAGAAGGGATTCAAAAGACTAATTAGTGAATTGCCTTGCTAGATAAGCAAGCTCTGGGAAAATAAAGCCCAACAAAGGTACCTAGTTAAAAAGAAATACTGTCTTAAATTTTTGTTTAAGAACTTTAAAAGGTGTACGTACGACTGATTTTGATTTTTGCGCGCTTTAAGATCTGTGTGAGTGCTTTGTGTGTGTGTGTGAACATGTTCAAAGATAAGAATTGTCAGCATGCTGTAACAATTGGGTGAGTTTAAATTTAAAATTCAAAAGGTTATGAGGTTTGGACATTACCAAAGATTTTAAAAAAATCTTCACATTGTTTTAAATGGCTTTGTAAAGATTCTTTAACTTGCAAATTAGAAAATCTGGTATTTTAAAAGACTAATGTTTTAAAATGCATAAGACTGTTTATTCTGTAATCAAGTTATCTGGCTTAACAAAAATGCATTGGCTGTTTGGGATCTAATTCCCTTGGCTAAAATTTGGGGATAAATATTAGAAATTTAAATGTAAAGGTTAGTTTAACACTGCCAAAGATGTTACCTGTTTTGTCTGTCTAAAACTGTATTTCATTCGAGAACCAAGAGAAGAGACGGGGAAAAACTTAGAAGCCAACAGAAGACCTATCTTTAGGGGTAAGGGGTGAACAAGCAGAAGTGCAGTTCAGCTGGTCATGCATGGTGGGACAGGCCCTGGGAGGAGTCCACGCATGGTGAGGCAAGCTGGCACAAACGCAGTTCATCTAACCCTAAGAGTCGGATTGGGTGTGTGCCCATTCCATAGAAGGGGCTAAGTGACCCATCTTTGTTCTCTCTTTTCCCTGCAGATACAGACTGAAAACATGATGGTTAAAATGAGTGATGTGATGATCTGATTAGTATTGCTAAAACTTCCCCTTGGATGTGTTAACATTAAAATTAGAAAGGCCTTAAAAAGAGGGCTAAAAAGTTATTTCTATAATGTGACTTGCTTTTAATGTTTTACAATTAAGATATTTTTGAAAGTTATAGAGGTGTTAAGTCTAGCCTCGTGGTATAATGATGGTGACTGTAATTTTTGCATTAAGGAACAATTGTCATTTGAGTTTAAAAATCTTAATGTGTGTCTGCTTTAAAACAAGCAACCAAGAGGCAATGAGTGACACTTGGCCTCAAGATTTCAAGGGATCTTTTCAAAACGCAAATGAAAACTAAAGTATAAAATATTAAAGGTGATTAATAAGAGGCTTTTAAAAAAATTAATTAAAAATGAATTTTGGGATATAAAGTTTAAATGTAAAATTGTTCTTGACATTGGCCTCAATGTGCACAAAGGGAAAAATTAAAATTACCAAAATAATTGCTATTCTAGCTTGCTCTTATAGGTTTTTTTAAGTTTCCAGCAAGCCCAGAGCAAAGCACAGAGGATTCTTACAAGTTTGTCAGATGTAACTTTGACTCTTAATAAGTTTCAGGTAAGAGCATGCTTAAAAGCTACTTCTATGTTGACCACCTCGTTGCTTTTAATTGAAGTAAAGTGGCCTTTTATAAGACGCATTGATCTGCAAACTGGTTCGAAGCCAGCTCGGGCAGAAAAAGGTCCCTGTGAGACTGTCACCTCTATTCAGCCAGCAGAGTACTAGCCCTGGACTAAAGAGTCAGGGGACAGTACTCAAGCCCCAAGCTCGAGACTCATAGTGGCAGAGTACTAGCCCTGGACTGAAGAGTTAGGGGACAGCATTCAAGCCCCGAGTCTGGGACTCAAAGTGGCAGAGTGCTAGCCTTGAGCTGTAGAGCTGAGGGACAGTGCTCAGGCCCTGAGTTCGAGTCCAGCAACCAGCTAAAGGGAAATGCCAATAAGGCATTTATCCCAATGTGGAGAAGACACTCCTGGGACAAAAGCAATGGAGGAGCATCCAGAGGCAGTAAGCCACTGCTTGGATGGCAGAAATGTCAGATCCTAGTGTCATTTGTGGGTGGCCTTTCAAAACTGGTCAGAGCCGGGAGGTCATAGGAAAAAAGTTTGGAAGCATGCCTAATGTTCATGACTACCTTGTAAGGGACAGGAACTTGCCAGTCCTCTGTGATAGTAAAAAGCTAATGTTATAAAATGTGGGGGATAGTTTAAATCTCAAACCCTTTATGTGCCAAAAAGTTTTAATTGATTGGCTGACACTAGTTACATGAAGTTCATTTGCTCAGGAAAAAGTTTGCAAACCTGAGTGTGTTTCTATTAATATCTGTCTAAAGGCCTGAAAAGGTAACTTAGGCATCTTAGGCATTGTTGAGATCACATTCCTAAGCCATCTAGGAAGATGCTTTTACAAACCAGAGTGCTAAACAAGCTACACTACTGCTGTAGCCGGAGAAAAGGTCTGTACAGTTGTCAAAGGTTAAATATTGTTCTTAATGACATCTAACCCTGATGGCCTCTTTATAAAATAGGCTAAGGTTATAGGTTCCTGGTTAGGTAGGATCAACGCCCCTGAAGTCAGCTTGAAGAAGTTACAGAAGATTGACCTTCACCCTTCTACCCCCATTTTAAGATCAAGGGTCCAGAGTCAGTTTTGGAAAAATGAGGCAAAATAGATAAAATAATTTTTTAAAGACATAAAAAAATAGTGCTAACAGTTGTTGATATGCAAGGTGTGGAGACTGCATCTGTCAGAGATGGTTACAAGACTAAACCTTCTGAGCCTTCTGTGTCCATTTACAAAAATATCTCGTTAGTAAAAAAGTTGTGATTTTGGTAAATTGTCCTGGGCTATTGTTTAATGATCTTAAAAACCAGCAGGATCAAAGCCTGCCAAGCCTATGCAATGTATCCTTAACCAGTCTGTGTAGGAATTTACAGCCCAGCATGAGGTGTGACAGTCCCTTGGAGCCACTGAGAGATCCTGCTGCTGCTGCTGCTGCTGCTGCATACCCTAATGGTCAAAGTTCAACGACTGCCTGACAGCCACCTGGAGAAACTCCTGCCTAAAGATTCCATCACCTGAGTCTGCTTCCTGGTTGACTGCTGCTAAATCTAAGATCTTGTGGGACATTCTTTTGGGTGATATCCAAAAGCCCTCTCTTCCCACAGTGGATATTGGGGACAAGGATATCACTGGCTTGCTTGCCAGTGCATAGTGACTGAAAATCCACTCTATGGTCACAGCCTAGTTTGGCTCTGGTATGGTAATAACCTGAGTGCGTTATCAATGGAGGTAATACTCTTAGCCTTAAAATCTAGCAAGCTTCTACATCACAGTGGTGCCTTAAGGCTGTTCTAAGATAAAGGTTCCCAAAGCAAAAGGAAAATTGTGCAGTTTTAAACTACAGCTACAAAGATGCTCAGGGATTGTAAAGAAAGAGGGTGGTAAAGAAAGCCTTGGAAAAGGGATTGTAAAGAAAGAAGGTAGTAAAGAAAGCCTTGGGAAAGGAATTGGGGGAAAAAAAATTGATATCCACTTTGGATAAGAAAGGATTTGAAAAGTAAGAATTGTCTTTAAAGAAGACAAACCTCAGAAAGTTTAAGTATGTAGCAAATGGTATGAGTATGTCGTAAAATTGGAGCTTACAAGTACAGCTGGTATAAAATTAAGTTAACTGTGATACAGAGTCAGGACTGGTGTCTTTTGTAAAAAAAAAAAAAAAAAAAAAAAGATCAGCGCAGTCCGTCTATTAGTTCTGAGAACCAAATACCAAGCATTGAGAACAACTGACACCCCACAAGATAATATAGAGTCACCCCTACGACTGAGATAAGAACCCCCTAAATTTTAAGATTAAAATTAGCCCAAAGAAAAATGGGGGAATGAAAGATTAAAAATTAGAGTTACATTTTACAATTGCTAACTGCTGGTTTTGCTTCTGTAAACTTGCTTGCGCTAGCACTGACCCTTCCCCTCCCTGGAGATAGGGGCAGGATACGTGCAGGCCGCTAACCAGGAAACGAAACCTCGGGCCTCTGAGTCACCGCCTGCAGACCCTAGCATGACCCTAGTACATGCCTTAAAACCAGGCATTCCGGTAAAATAGCCGACCAAACCATTCCTTCCTGTAAAACTTAGCCTTAATACTAGGGTGAGGCAGGATGTAATAAATCACTTGTCAAAACTAGGGAACAAACAGTTTCGGTGCATAGCGACCAGCACAGGCATGTCTGGGCAAGTACCGACACGTCAGCTTTCCCCCAACCCCACCTACCCCATCTGGCCAGCTTAACCTGACCAATCCTCACCCTGAGCGTAATTTGAAATTAACCAATCATCCCCCTGTAACCACGCATCTCGCTTCTGTAACCCTGCTTCTGCTTCCCATAAAAGAGGATGCTTTCATGCATCAAGGCGCGCAAGTCTCCCGATAGACTTTGTCGCCCCGGGTACCCGTGTAACCGGTTCTCAGACACTCAACCCGAACCTTGTGGATCTTGAGGTTGAGTGCACCTGGGAGCCGAGGGCTTGCCCGAATAAACCTCTTGCTGTTTGCATCCGCACAAGTGGTCTCGTTGTTCCTTGGGGAAGGGTCTCTTCAGATTGAAGGACACCCCACGCCGCCGGGGGTCTTTCAGTATATATACACAATGGAATTCTATGCCTCCATCAGAAAGAATGACATTGCCCCATTTGTTAGGAAATGGAAAAACTTGGAAAAAATTATATTAAGTGAAGTAAGCCAGGCCCAAAGAAACGTAGGTCCCATGGTTTCCCTTATTTGTAATATCTAGTATATCTATGAGTCAAGCGGAAAAGGTCAGATAATGTGATGTCAGGAAAATGAACCCTTAGATGTGTATTTTAATGTTTTTTTCTTTCATGCATGTGTTTCTAACACATTTATAAGATTATCTCTTTGTTGCTTTGTATGTCCCTCCCCCACAGTATAACCCTTGCTTTCACTATATTTGATGTCAGTATAACTTGTGGAGGAGATGGGGAAAAACCAGTTGTTTAAGGATACAGGTGGACCTGTTGCAACAATGAGAAGTACAAGTTGTCATGTCCAAAACGAACTTTACAACGTTGGTGGGGGGGGCTGGGGGGGGAGGAAGGAGAAGGATTGGGATTAGGGGGGGAGGGGGGAGGCTGGGAAGGGATGTGAAGGGTAAACAAAGGAGGAGGCTGCAATGCTTGGTAAGAAATGTACGCATTTTCCTGCCCATGTAACTGTAACTCCTCTGTACAGTATGTTCACAAATAAAATTAAATTAAATTAAAAAAAAAAAAAAAAGAAATGTACTCATTACCTTGCCCATGTAATTGTAACCCCTCTGTATGGTATTTTCGCAATAAAAAAAATGAAAAAAAAAAGAGATGCATTTTGTGACATAACTTACATGGAGAAAATGGAACATTTTCCTGTAAACCATATCCTAGAATTTAAAACTGAATTTCCTTTCAGTAAAGAATGTCTCAGCAGGGGTTGGGAAGGTGACTCAGTGATAGAGCGCTTGCCTTGCATGCATGAGGCCCTGGGTTCGATTCCTCAACACTACATAAGCAAAAAGAAAAAAGCCTGAAGTGGCACTGTGGCTCAAGTGGTAGAGCACTAGCCTTGAGCTGAAGAGTTGAGGGACAGCGCCCAGGCCCAGAGTTCAGGCTCCATGACCGGAACCCCCCCCCTCTCCCCCCCCCCCCCCTCAAAAAAAGGAATGTCTCAGCAAACCACTTGTATACAAAATGCAATTTTATAATTCACATATTAAAAGTTGTTTATGCAAATATATGAGAAATGTTAATATAGCACACATATATATCACTGCCTTTATAACGATTTTAAATTAAAAGAATTAAATTGAGAAATATGAAAATTCATCCCCTTTGCTACTCAAAAATAGAGAAAGGAATCTCCTGTTCTTTCCTTAAGAACTGTAATCACAACTATGCTCATAAGCATCATTTGTTACATAAAATGATGTCATTTTAGCAATCTATTTGCATTTCATTGGAGTAGGTCAATTATATGGTTTCAATTCAGTATTCACTTTTAGGAGATGTCATAAATTTACAAAACAAAGCATCATCTTTATTTTATTGTTTGCTTTCAACAATTGTCTTCAGAAAAATGTTTCAGTAAATATCTACATTTTTCTCCTCAAATGTAATAGCAATAAAAAACCCAATCAGAGATTAATGTATTCAACAGTACATAAAAAATGGACTGTAACATTTAGAAGAATACTTAGAATTACTGGTTTAAATTTTTTAATATAGGTAATCCATCTAATTTATCCATGCTTTATAAGCACCCATTACCCACAAATACAAACATTCAGTAAAACGTCACAGCACAGAATTACATTAGCAGGCTGATAACTCATCCCAGCCAATAACACTAGTGATTATACATTAAATTTATCACTTACCATTATGACTGCAATTTTATTTTATTGGAACCAAATTGAGATAATAACTTTCATGAAGATCACAGCTTTTGTGGAGAACTATGTCATACAGAAACACCAAATATAGAATAATTTCTCCATATATTTAACATTGATATTCATAATCCAAGGTTAGAGCAAGTCTAGAAGCTGAATTTTCTAGGTAATTTCCTCAAACTTCAGTTAAATTTGATAATAAAAAAATCATATTCAGCTGCTTGGTTCCAGACCACTAACAATATGGGAAATAAGAAAAGTCAATGTGTGAAGTAATCTTTTTAAATAAAGGCAAATTTGGTATCAGTTGTAGCAAATGGATTATAAAATCTTCAGGAAATTTTTTTAAGTCAGGAAATTTAGGGGAATATTTATATCATTCAAATGAGAAAGTAGATTGATCATACACCTAATCTCAATTGACATATTTTACAAAAAAATGAAGACAAAATATCAATCTGCTAATCATGTTGCTGAACAGTGTACACGTCTTCTTTTGTTACATTCATTTATTCTTTCAGTAGAAAGATTCATGAAGAATTTATTTATTAGCTTAATTTTTTTTAAGATTTTTTGAAGAACTTATCTCTATTGCTAATCACACTAAACCA